GTTTTTGAGTTTGACACCCCTGGTTTAGAGGGTTTAGGACACTTTAGGCCAAGATGTGTGACAGCATTTATTTATTTATTTTTTCATATGAGAGTTAATACTTCACCCACATCTATTAAAATAAAGTAATCAATACATAAATTAAGTTAACTGAAATAGACAACAGGGGAAAAAATCCAAGCAGATAATTATTAGTATTTCTTTTAAACAATACGTTGTTTTCACTTGATAGTAGCTGCTGTGCACACTGACTCAAAACGAGCTGAGGCACTATAAAACCTCAAACTTTAATAATCATTGCCTCATGAGTGTGCTATAATGCTTTTGTTCAGAATTGCTGCATTCAATGTCCGATCAGTTTTATCACATTGTTACATTGTTACAGGTGGAAATGATCCCTTAAGATTAGGCTATATCTTTCTAGTGTACATTATTCTCTCCCCTAATCTCTCTTCTTTAAAATTTGAAACCTGAATGAAAATCTTTCTGAAGCAGCAGGGATGTTTGAAGCTTTGGACATCATCAGTCACATGGTATTATTCATTTGACACAGTATCTTTAAACAGTGAGATTCACAGGAGTAAACAAGCTTTGGAGCTTTGGTATCATGTGCCCATCTTTACTTTATATTAAATCCTAAAACAATCCTTAATTTTAGTTGAAAAACTATTAAATCTGATAGTCCGGTGTTGAAAACAAAGATGTTTGACATTGGACATTGGACTATTTTCCACATCTACTGTCTGATTACTTACCTATTTTAGCCTAAACCTGGCCCCATTTTAATCTTTATTACTATGAATGGTTAGGAAGTTGAGTGATATGCACTGTCCAAATAGTTGCTTTCTTTACTATAATTAATAAACTATAGTCACCACTGGGTGGTGCTGAGATCTAACTTTCTGTATGCCCTGCTCTGACTGACAGGCGTACAGGGATAAGGCTCCAGTCCTGCTCTGGCTGCAAGGTACCTCCATGTTCAGTCTCTTTGTGGAACATGGACCATATGTGGTGTATAACAGTCCCACTGACTGAGAGGTTCCTGCCTACAGAGTATAGATGCATGAACAGTCCCTTGCTTCCACTGGAAGGTTCAGCCCAGCAGAACAGAGGTGGTGGCAGGTTAGGTAGGACAAGTGGGAGAGTTTTACCAGGTGAGCAGATATAAACAACAGTCCAAACAATGTGTGAAGTAATCTGTGAACACCTGTTTTAAATTATGTAATCTCTCCTCGCAGGTCATCATCCGAAGAGTGGGACATTTTCTGCCTTATGACCAACCAGCGAGGTCCTTTATCATGATTGACAGATTCCTCTTAACAGGCAATGTGAATCAGCACATTGTTGGATTTGAACATGATTTTATTTATATGCAGTTTTTGTTTAGGTCTCTGGAGTGCTCTTGGATGCACTGGAAACTAAATTAGTTCTCTTACTACATCCAGACCTCTGAATCACTGCCCTATGAAAACGACATAGCAGTTCAGTCTGATTACTAGGGGCATAGCACAACATTTTAGACCCTGCACATTAGCATTTTCTATGGGCTGCTTCCCACATCCATGGGTATTCATTCTAGTATCTTAGTGGAACCTTCTCACATGCCGGCCCTGCATACTTCGTTCGCTTTTCCCTCCCAGTCCTACGCCCCTGCTGATTACCATGCATGAGTTCTATGTAAACACATAGAAAACATTACATGTTTGTTTTTTTTTGGGATCGTGTGAGGGAAATATCGTACGTTGAATTAAATCATTACATGCAAGAAGGTGAAATTTAAACCAGAGCTGAATTGTCTTGAAATAAAATGTCTTAATAATTAGAAAAGATTGCAATGAATTTTACAGTCTGATAACCTTTTCTTAAGAACTTCTGTGGTAGTGTTTTACAGCACCACCTGTTGAATGGGATTTCTCCTCTCAAGCACTGTTTGGTTAATCAACAAAATGTACACTAAGAGTCACTGTGCTTCAAAGAAATTTCATTTCAAATTAGTAGAAAGAAAACTGCTGTGTTTATTTAATGTGTTTTTAAAACGGATTTATAGCATTAGATCTCTGATTATTTTAAATGAGGTCCTAAACCATTAAATTAGTCAATATCTCTGAAGAAAGTAAAAGGACCTCTTTGCATGTTGCTATAACACACAATGCTGGTTAATTCCATTATTGTTCTTGTTATGATAGAACTAACTTCAGCGCACAATGCTGTCTGTGCACTGAAGTTAACTGCCATGTTATTTCATCAGGCAACAATCAAGATGTCTAGACAGTTCAATAATTAATGAGTATCCTAAACCTTTAAAGCATCTAATTATTTAATGAGCAGTTATGTCTCAAGGACAAACATTGGGAAATACCGATAAACATTTGGTTTGAACATTAGTTATTTTTAATAGAATTCTTCAAAAACTTTTAAAAATATTATCTTCAAATACTCAGTTAATGTCTCTTAGTTCATGTTTTGCATTCTGGTTACTGTTACAGGTAGGTTGTGACATCCAATCACATCAGTTAGTTGTATGTTACAGAACAAGTGCTTTATTTTCATACCGTAATGTAACTGCAGTGATACTTTAACATCTGTACAAATGCGAAACAACACAAAATGGAGATAATGTCATTACAGACACAGGAAATGTACAAAGTTATGCAGGCAAGAATGGATTCATCAGTTCATTACATATAAACAATGTATTTAAGCGCTGAAATGAGCCTTGACGTACAACAAAAGGCAACAAGTGCTATGCAAACATTATTTACAAACATGTACCACACATTTACTCCCTTCAAAAAGAAAGGTGGTTGCATTACATGTACAGGATTACAGAAATTAATGACATTATGTACAATATTTATAGTTTTTGATTTAAAATAATACAATTATAACATCATTAATGTGTAGAATCTTTCTCCACCTCTCACAAATCCATTCACACTCACACTGCACTTCCATCTGCCCATTTTTGTCTTCCTCTGCAGTAAAAACGGTCTTTTTCTGAACCTGGATCCACTGTAAAAATGAAACTATAGACTTTCTAAATCTAACTCTAAAATAGCAACATCCTCCAAATTATTCCAGTTAAAAGTATTTTAAGGTCAATACCATATTTCCACATGCAAGAGGTTAATTTGGAATGGCCTAACAATCTAAATATGGTTTACAAAACAACCTAAAATAAGGCAAGCTTCAGTTCAATGGGTTGGTACAACAAAGCCCTTTTCAAGAGAATCAGTTGTCTCATCAACATTCATATCAAACTGCATACACATACTCTAAAGTTAAGACATGACATAAACAGTCCGAATGCTTTGATAGAATTTGAATGTAACCCAATATGAGGATCAGATATTCTTCCCTTCATCTTTGACAAAATGTGGCCTCATCCCACATTACGAGCTCTAGGTTCCCTTTTTCTATCTATAGACATGTGATGCATCCCAGGCACAGTCTCTCCATAAAGCCAAACACAGTTTAATTTCTCGCTGGTGTGTGAAAAAGGGGGATCACTGAGAATTACTCGGACCTTAATATGGCTATTCGACCCTCTGGCATGACAGAGGACAAAGTGCATAGACAGCTCTGCGATCGCTCCACCTGTCAGTGGAGTGTATTTCATCCATCCTACTGCAAAACACAGTGCATTATGGTCATCATGCTAATGAATCGACATTCCTGGTCATAGGAAAGAGAGAAAGGGCAGTTGTGGTCAACATGAGAAGGCATGAAGTTTCAAGGCTGGAAGGGAGATTAATAAAAGGTAACGTCTATATCATTATCAGTACATCCATCACCAATCTGAACTGTAGAGGAGGCCTGAGAGAGAGATGAAGAGAAATTGATGAAATGGAAAACTGGTATTTTTTTCCTTGGTCAGCTGCCCTTACATGCAGCCAATAACAGAGAAAACTCATTAATAATACATTGAGAATTAAACGGTTTTGATTGTTTGAAGAAAAAAGAGTGGCGTTTTCCTGTCTAAAGTAAGCCAACAAAAGATTTTCAGAAAGGTTCAGGCACATTGTGACATTTTGGAAAGCACAGGCATAAACTGCTCCTCTTTAGAAACTGTAAAACACTTTGCCAGTTGTGGGACGACAGTCAAAAAAACCCATCATGCTCACAGTGACACACTCACACAGATTTGTTTTGTTTTTCTTTCTTTACGCACCTGCTGAACTTTGTTCTGCAGAGGAAAGAAGACAAAACTCGAACGCATAATCTGCATAATTCACATGCACACTCAAAACTATGCAGACGCACGCAACTGAATGTTATATTCATTTGGGATTTGAATCCAAAGTGTGGATCCAGATGCACAAACACACAAAAAGAGGCTTGAATAATTAAAGCTTCAGTTGGTCCTGGAGAGCGGAGGAGTTTGTTTCAAACCCCTGAGCTGCCTCGCTGGTATCACAGTGTACAGTTCTGTAGCTGTAACAGCATCGTATGCCCTTTGGGACCAGAGTGGCTTGGCCATTCTAATCATAATGTGGACATACAGTAGAGAAGATGATCAATACTGCGGTGTATTGCTTCAATTTGATCATTTTTTTCCACTGTCATGCTGTACTTTATAACAATCTTTAAGAATACCGCTGACAGGGAAAAGGTTAACAGTCATATACGTTTCTAGGAAAGAAGAGGATCATTACACCTGCTTGCATATTACTGTCTTCAAGACATCAGTGTGACAGTTTGACTTCATCCCACTCACTTATTCAGAGTCTGTTGCACACACTCAACATACTGTCCACATGTGATATTAAGAGATTTGACTCATTTTTCAGTCCATCAGGCATACACAGATGTAAGGTTTGCTTATACAGATGACAGTCTGAGGCTAATGTCTCTTTCCTCTGGTTCCATGACCACCGTGGTCCATTTTGTACCATTACACAACAGAAAAAGTCACCTAAATGCTGTATGAGAAAACTCCCTTTTCACTAAAAGCACAACAAAAAAAAAAAAATTGATTAAAAAAAAGAGGCAACAAACCATAGAACATTTACGCATTAATAGGGTTGGTCTATAAAAATACATACTGTAGCTACTGTATAAAGAACAGCCTCACAGGCCTTTGAGGTTTTTCTTGATGGAGTGGGGGGGTGGGCAGCATGTGCAGCTGGCAACCCTCAGAAAGCAGGGTAAGGGTAGGGGGGATTGGGGCTACAGCTGGGGTTAAAGTCTCTTCTGTCCCTAGTGGATGGGATTAATGTCTGTGCGGTGGTTGGTTTGCCCGTGAACACTGCTGCCCCCTACGGTTGTGGTGGAGGTGGTGATGGTGTTGTGCTGAATGACCTGCTGCTGGGAGCACACTGGCGCTGGACTGCCCGCTGGACTGCTCTCTGGACCTGAGGAGACAGTAGAGACATCATTGAGGATGGACAAAGTGTGTGTACAGTATGTGTGTAAATGCTCTGATCGTCAAGCTTTACACAGAGGCTTCAAAATATAAGGTGATAATAAAATAAATAATGATTAATCATATCAAAATAAACACAGACAAAATATCATTATTGTAAAAAAACAGCTTTATTAGCAAATACATTTCAAACATATGACACACTGAATTGACACCTAAAGTCTCACCTGTCATCCCAAAATAGGCCATAAATGGATAACACAAAAATGGAAAAGTGAATCACTCAACTCCATAAACACGCCTGATGGCTTCTGGACACATTGAAGGTGACATCTGTACACAAGCTAGACTCATCGATGAAAGTTTCTCCCAGCCCAGTCTGGGAGTTGGCTTTCTCCTGTATAAAAGAACCATTCAGCCAAGGGGGATGTGAGCCTTATTTTCCTCAGCTAAAGCCACACAGGGAGGTGCCTTATCCGAATTACATGGAAATGTCACTTGTATCCGTATCAAAGGGTGGGGCTCTGATGTCATGCGCGGCAGAGCCGAGGCACAGTGCAGTAATCAGTGAGATCCTGGGACATCCATGAAAGTATGGGTGCCAATGTGCAGCCTGTGACGTCTTTCTCACGCTCGGCTGCCTCTGTGCATAGAGGTGCTGTCAGATGGAAAAACAGGTCTCATGTGGGATTCAGACTACCAACTCCCAGTCCAGGCCGGCTACCAGAGTGTGCAACACCCATATGTGAACGGAAGAGTCCTGCAATGAGCGTGGGTGCTGGATACCAGCACATAGGAGCGAAAAGTCTTGGCAGTCACTGTACGTCCATCACAGTTTAGTCTGCAGAGTTCAAACTTTCTCTGGCAAGACAATTAACAAGCTCACAGCAGTGCTATATGCACTTTGGGGCTAAGGCACACAGATGAAGGTGTGTTTTTGGTCACATTCCCAAGTGTGTGTGTGTCTGTGTTTATGTTTGAACTACTCACTGAGGTAACCTTGGGACTCTTTCTGCATAGTGGTGATGGGACAGTCCTTGTGTGTGAGGAGAAGCTGCTTGAGTTGGGTCACCTCGTTCTTTAGCATGGTCACTTCATTCTGAAATGAATTAAAAGAAGCATTTTAAGACTATCATCCACAATAAAAGCAGGCTATCCTATTGTTCTTAATTAGTTGATAATTATTAGTATCAGTGTTTATAACAAACAGTGTCATCATATATTATAACTACCATATATTTAGATGATCAGCAGGTTATTTTATATGTTGAATTGGGCTTTCAAATTTTAACTGAAACCTGTGTTACAAATTTGATACGTGGAATTGTAAAGATGCTATTTAGTTGCATTATGGGAATTGTGGGATCCAGCGTTTTTGGAGCTCTGTTGCTTTGATTTTTACCATTTGTTTTTTAAATCTGTTTCTTGTGAGTCCCCCAGGTTAATGGAAGTGCAATCACCATTTAAGCACCTTAAAGATAACTACAAACATTCTACAATGATTCACTAATAACGAAGTTATCAAACATTACATTCTCTTAATAGTACAACAGAGTTTCAGATGTTTCAGGTGTTTTATATTAGTCTACCACTAACAACATCCAGCTGATCTCGTCTGTTACACTCATACTCAAACCAATCCACCTTATTCCCATTATCTCTGGTGCAAAACAGGATATTGTCATGTAGTTAATAAGGAACTGAGTCACAAATATTGAATGTTGTGAGTGGTACTGTGCATAGATTTAGTTATTGCAGTTTTTAACGCCTGAACTTCATTGTATACCTGAAGCTGCATGTTGGTCTGAGTGAGTTCTTCTGCTTTCTTCTCTAATGACATCACCCACACTTTTCTCTTTTGCCTGCATCTTGTTGCTGCTGCTCGGTTTCGCTCCAGAAACTTCCGCCGACGTTCGTCCGGGTCCTCGTCCACGACTCGCCTGCGCCGCCCGCCGCTGGGGGGTGGAGACTGCAGCGTCTGCGTGGGCTGCATCTGCTGGGTCGCAGGTGACATCTGAAACACAGGTGGGGTGGGGTGTTGGGGGTTATCAGCATCTCTGAGCTCTCTGATGAGTGTCTGTCAACATCCGACCAGACATGTTGACACACCTGGTAAACAACGAGCCACCTGTCTGCTGTCACAGCTCCACTGTCATCTAGCCTTGAAACAAGCATCTATAGATTACCTCCTGCAGCTATTCCATGTCTGGCAACTTCCCCAAAAACAACATCTGGTTGTGCCACGAGCCTTGTGAGCCTGGGCTGTGGGCGTCAGGAGTGACAGAGTGAGTGAGTGACTGGGCTGATTCACCAGCCTGCCCACCTTGTTAAAGAGGTGTCAGGAGGCAGTTTTCCACCGCCCACTTCCACTCAGACTAACACCACCAGACACAGTCAAAAGACTTGTTTCTAAAACCGTTCGTGCACTGACAAATCTTGACATATACTTGGCAAGGTCAAGTGTTTTTGGTTTTCAGATCATTACCATTTTTTTGAGAACCATGGAAAATATAAGCTACTCTAATGGCCTACAGAGTGTTGTTTTAGTATACAGTGAATTGCATTTCTTGATGTCTGACTGTCCTTCATGCAAAATTGTTGGCATTGCAGAGGACGTTAGACAATGCAAGGACAAAGTGTCTCACATAATGTTTTTTTTTTAAAAATACTGTCGACAATGCTTTCAATTTAAAATTAAACCAAATATATTCATGGCGAAGATGTTCCAGGAATATTAGCCAAGGTTGTCTGTTCATCATCAGGACCAACATTTAGAATATTATTCTGCACCTGGAGCATGTTGTGGCCACGTAATGGTAGCTTGGCAGTGAGGGATGGCATGGAGCACAGTTTTCAAAAGACAGTCCTGAGAATCTTTTATAAAGGCCACTTTATGGCCTCTTCATGACCCTTTCCCTCCATGGCAGCCATCTGACACTGACTTGTAGCTGACCAACCTCCAAGAAAAAAAAAAGACCTTTGAGATGTTGCCAGGAAACTACTTGACATTATGTTTGCAGCAAGGGAAAATGTGTTCATCCATTGACTTACTGTGAATTTGAAGCATCATTTCAGCTATACTTCTATACTAAACCACTAATAGCTGCCTTCAAAACTCCTTAAAGAGCTACTAAAACGCTGCTTTGTTTTAGTCATGGTACCTATGCAGTGGCTTCTCGCTATATGAGAGATTTTAATGTGCAGTGTAGTTAATGTGTTATTGAACTTGTGGCTCTGACTTTGGGCTTGTCTAAAAGCTTCAGCTCTACAGGGAATGTGCTTTGCTTACATGTGAAGAAGAGTGCATTGGAGGGTGCGGTGAGGTCTGGTGTGGGTGCCCGGGATGGAGGTGGGGATTGTGGGAGTTGTGATGAGGATTGTGTCCCTGCGGGTGGTGGTGTCCACCCTGGCCGTGGCCCTGGTTGTGGTGGTGATGACCGTGGTGCTGGTACGCGTGGGGAGGGGCTTGCAGGTGCTGGTGCGGGTGTGAGTGCATGTGATGGTGGGTGCCTTGCTCCTGCCGCGATGACATCATCTCCATCATGTGGCCCATGGGAGTTCATGTTGCCGTTGGGCTATGGCACCCGGGTGGTGTGAAAGTGCAGCCTTCAGCCTCTGAGTAGAACAGAATGAACACCAAAATATGATGTTAAGACATAATTTTCTATGAATGCAGTTTAAAAGTTGTGTACAATGGCTCTCCCATCTATGAGTGTGCTGGTTATCAACAGTTAGAGAGCAGGATCATGGTTGCTGACTATATGATGAATCGGCTCCATAAATCGCATATGTCAGGAGAACAAATCCAAAGCCAAATTAGGCTGTCGCTCTGTTCTCGTTCCTTCAGTCTTGTCCATTCTCCCTCGTTTACCCGTGATTGCTCACCACCAAGGTCCCCTTTCTCTTCATATTCTAATAGCCTCTCTCTCTTCCTGCCCTATGCATGTGTGTGTGTGTGTGTGTGTGTGTGTGTGTGTGTGTGTGTGTGTGTGTGTGTGGATGTCTTGCCTGTGAGAGTTGAGGCTTGCTGGCACTACTCCCTTGCTGATGACCAGCCAGGAGGTTTTGTTGCTCTAAACCGTGTGGTCTACTTAGCCTGACTGAGCCGGTGTCTCAGAGTGGCATGGGACGGAGACCAGAGAGACGCTCTCTCAGGTGTGTCCGTGTTTCTCATGTTTGACTGAATGGCACCTCTCCCCTCAAGAAGTTTGGTTTTTCTGGGGCATCACATAAAGGACAACCGCAAGACCAGGAAAAAAATCCTAATCCAAATATAGCAAGTGCTAAAATATGTTTCAGGCTTCGTGTGTGTTTGTACACAACTAGACCAAAATAACAAATCCACCGTCTGAACTGTTTCTGACTTATTTACATTTTGGACTGCTTTAGGAATAACAGGTTGAGAGAGTTGTGTGAGACTGCTGAACTTTGATTAATGCACTTTCTTTTTACCAAGTGTACTGCTCATGTGAATAAGTTCTAATTAAATACATTCAATAGCTAAAGTCTAGTCTTAGATTCTGTCTAAAATTCGTCATTTCTCACTTGGCAAAATGTTAACACAAACTAAAAAAAAGGGCAAATTCATTTCAAGGGCTACTGTTGTGAATTAAGCACAAAGTTTTTTATTTTCTTTCTAGTGCTCTCTTTCCTCTCTCCATGCTCCTTGCCCCCTCTCTCCGCAGGGCTGCTGTCAGTAAGTCCATGCTGTGTCTCAGGGCTCCATATCTTTTAACAACCTTCACATTTCTGGGATTCCATAGGAATGGCATCCAGCTTGGTCTGG